TCTTCCATTTGTTAATATTATCTATTTCCTTTCTTAGGATTTCATAATTTTCTTTATAGAGGTCCTTCACCTTTTTTGTTAGGTATATTCCTAGGTATTTCATTTTCTTTGAAGCTATGGTGAAGGGAGTTATGTCTTTAATTAGCCTCTCATCTTGACTGTCATTGCCATATACAAAGGCTGCTGACTTGTGGACATTGATTTTATACCCTTAGACATTACTGTGTTATTTGATGACTTCCAGGAGTCTTGGTTGAGTCTTTGGAGTTCTCTCAGTATAAGATCATATTGTCAGCAAAGAGGGAGAGTTTGACCTCCTCTGCCCCCATTTGGATACCCTTTCTTTCCTTGTCTTGCCTAACTGTATTGACTAGAACCTCTAGCATGATGTTGAAGAGTAATGGTGACAGAGGACAACCTCATCTGTTTCCAGTTCTAAGAGGAAAAGCTTTCAGTTTTACTCCATTCAGTAAAATATTAGCTGTGGGTTTGTCATAGATAGCTTCAATCAGTTTCAGAAATGTGCCATGTATGCATATACTCTTCAGTGTTGTAATTAGAATAGGCTGCTGGATTTTATCTAATGCTTTTTCTGCATCTATCGAGGATTATATGGTCTTTGTTTTTGCTTCTGTTAATGTGGTAGATAATGTTTATGGACTTGTGTATGTTAAACCAGCCTTGCATCCCTGGGACGAAACCTACTTGGTCACGATGTATGACTTTTTTGATGATAAGCTGTAGTCTATTGGCTAGCATTTTGTTGAGAATTTTTGCATTTATATTTATTACTGAAATTGATCTGAAATTCTCCTCTTTAGTTGGGTCTTTTCCTGGTTTTGGTATCAGGGTGCTGTTTGAGTCATAGCACATGTAGGGGAAGATTCCTTCCTCCTAGCCTGTTCGGACACAGTAACCCACCTCCACCAAATAGAGAGGAAAGACAAAAATGCTGTAAATCAAACCAAAACAATCAAACAGAAAACTTTACAGGATAAAATTGGGGGAAAAATGAAATAATAGGGGTAGAAACACTAGCAAAAATGAAGTTCTAATTGTTAAAAAGGCAACAATGGAAAATTATATTTAAACTAGAAAAATGAAGAAAGAAATGAAAGAAAAAAAGGAAAATCTAGAGGGAAAATGTTGAAATTAAAAAAAAAAACAAAGCAGTATATATATCTTGCCGAATATTGTCTGGGCAACAGGTTGTCTTCTGGGGTATGAGATGTTAATCACGATGCTGATACAGCTATACGAGATAGAGACCTGAGGCCTCTGCTGATTGCTTGAACCTGCAATGTGGAGAGCCTAAATCTCTCTCAGCCCACTTAAAAGACACTTTAAATTGCTAACCTTGGCTAAGTAGAAGCTTTCTCAGGAAAGCACTTTTCACTGAGATCACTCCTGAAGTGGTTGTTCACTTACCCAGTGTGCCAAAACTGGTCTCACTCTATGCCCCTGAGGGCCAAGGCTGTAAGGCGTCTCAGTCCCTGCCTTTAGGCTGCTCAGTCACTAGATTACTTGCCCTAATCTCCCACCCAATCCTTGCTCTTTGACCCTGAGGGCGGAGCTTGCTAGGGCAGTTCTCCCACAGTGGGTCCACGGGGTCCACAGCTGAACTCTATTAGCTCTGTCTTGCTCAGCGGCTCAGTAGGGGCCCTACACAATGCTGAAAGTCCTCTACACTCTTTAAACATCTTTTTTTTTTCAAGAGACAGAGTCTCACTTTGTTGCCCTTGGTAGAGTGCTGTGGTGTCACAGCTCACAGCAACTTCCAACTCTTGGGCTTAGGTGATTCTCTTGCCTCAGCCTCCCAAGTAGCTGGGACTATAGGTGTCCACCACACCGCCCACTATTTTTTGTTGGGGTTTGGCCAGGGCTAGGTTTGAACCCACCACCGTCGGCATATGGGGCCAGCGTCCTACTCACTGAGCTACAGGCACTGCCCAGTCCTCTGCACTCTTGCCCGAGTTCTCCCAAGGTAGTTTAACTGAGTGCCAAATCTAAAAAAAAAAAAGAAAAAATAAAATAGCTCACAGGTAAGACCTTTCTAGTTTGCAATCTCACTGCTGCTGTACTTACTGCCAGTGGGATTAGACCTAATGAACACACTCAACCACTTGCCAGTTCTCCACTGCTTTTGTCCTCCTCATGGGGTCCAGAAGTCTCTTGCTGACTCCCTGTATCCCCAAAGGGATGTTTCTGGGCAGATCCCACCAGCCATAGATACCTGGAGTCTTTTCTCCCCAGTCTCATGGT